ATATAGATATCGTCCAAATAAGCTATAATTGTAGCCTTCGGTAGGGTCTTTTGGAGGTGCTCTAGCAGGGGGCGGATCGCTAGAGAGAATAAGAGGGGGGCAATAGGGTCTCCTTGGCGTACTCCTTCAGCGCTTGCTAGCGTGTGGCCTTCGTTTGTTACTAGCACTGAAGGCTGGTTATAGGCCCATTTAGCGGTCCGATAGAGAGTAGGGGCGTATTTAGCGACTGCAGCTGCTATTGAGGTTCGTCCGATTCGGTTATAAGCGTTGATAAGGTCTAAGGAGGCGATTTGCTGAGTTTTTAGGGTATTTGGGCCGGTAATAGCGTCGTCAAGGAGGAAGATTATAGGCTCTACACCACCTGGGGTGCTAACGCCTAATTGGCAGGGTAGAAGCATAGACGGCTTGAAGGAGCTGATAAGGATCGCTTTTAGGGCTACCTTATAAATAAGGTCCCCTATAGCGATCGGTCGCACACCTCCGTCAGGCTTCTGAAGGCCTATAAGTCGGGAAGCACATAGGAGGTCGACCCCTGGAGCTGTACCCTGTCGAATCATATTCGCTAGGTGTGTAAGCGCTATAGTTACAGGGGAGTTTTCCGAATTTAGCGCTATATCAAGTAGCGGGCGGGTCCAGCCGCTGAGGCCAGGGGCTTTCTCTCTATTAATCGATCGAATAGCCTGTCGTATCGTTTCAGGGGTGATATTTTGCCCCGGGGAGGGGTTAGCGTTACTGAAGGGGTTATTATGCCCTATAGGGTGCTTCGAGTATAGCGTATTTAGCGTCTCTGGAGTGCTAGGAGCTAGAGGCGTAGGGTCGATTAGGGCTCTAGAGGCACGCCCTATATAGCCTTTTTCCAGAAGCTTAGTCGCTCTTTTAGCGGGGGAGTCGTTTGAGGGGGTAGGGAGTTCAGGGGGAGGTCCCTGAGTTTCAGGGATATCCGGTATAGTCGTAGGGTAGGCTTTCAGCGTTTTAGCGAGCTCTTCCTTCTGTAATCCTAGGCCGAGAACCCTGGGAAGCAGTAAAAAGTCCAGTAATTGCTTCTCTCTAGGCTGCCGTAAGAACGCTAAAGCCGCTCGATTAGCGGCCTCTGTAAATAGCGCTGCTTGCCTAGCGTGGAGACGTGTTTCAGGGACCTTAATAGTGCTATATCTCATGAGGGATTGCATATAGGGGTTTCTTAGCGCTGAGCTTATAGCGTTCAAGTGGTCTTTAGCGCTCTCGTCTAGGGGTGTAGGCGCTGAGGAAGCCTGTGGGTGTAGGGGTGTAGGTGCTGAGGTAGCCTGAGGCTGGGGGCAGTGGATCGATTGTTGTAATCCAAAGGGTAGCTCAGATGTGAGGGGGTCGGTAGGGCGTTTTAGTGTTGACGTTCTAGGGCGTTTAGGCGCTGAAGATGCTGTGCCTTGTGTTGATATAGGGCGTTTAGACGCTGTAGGCCCTATAGTACGGCCCTGGAGTGTTGGGTTACAGGGTAGGCTAGGTGTGGAGGTTTCGCAGGGTAGGTGAGTTGTGGTGTTTTTAGAGGGTAGGTGAGTTGTGGTAGTTTTGGAGGGTAGGTGTGTTGTAGGGGTTGTTGGGGGAGAAGAGCTTATTATTATAGGCTCTTTAGCGTGAGAGGGTGCTGAAGCTTGGGGAGCTTTAGGGGGTGGTTCTAGGGGTGAGTAGCTTCGGTTGCTTATAGGGGAGCCTACTCGTGATAGTCGAGGGAAGTAGGGGCTATCAGAGGGTAGGCTAGGTGTGGTAGGCGTCTTATCGGTAGGTGTAGTTGGTATAGGCGTTGAGATAGCGTCTTCAAAGCTAGGGGTAGGGGACGATGGCGCTGTAGAGGCACTATAAAGATCTTCGTCGGACGAGCTGTCTTTGATTATAGGCTCTATAGGCTGCGTAGGGCCTATCTTTTGGCGTGTCGTAGGGCGTTGAGCCCCTGGGGAGGGTGTTCTTGCAGGGCGTTTAGTGGACGGCTTCGGGGGTATATAGCCTGTAGCGACGATTTAGGCGTATGTAGGTGACGTAGAGCCTGTAGGCGTGGGGGGTCGAGAGCCTGGGAGGGAGTCTGGTTCAGGGCCTGTAGGGCCGTCGTACGCTGGGAGTATAGCGTCTACTTCCCCTGGAATCGAGTACCAAATACCCCGTGGGGTCTGAATCCTTCGGGTGCCTGTAGGGAGGTCGGGGCCTAGAGCCGTCGGGTACTTGGAGCCTGTAGGTACTGACGGTACAGGGGTCTTAGAGCCTGTAGGTGCTGAAGGTGCGGGGTACTTGGAGCCTGAAGGCGTAGGGTGCTTAGAGCCTGTAGGTGTTGAAGGTGCGGGGTACTTGGAGCCTGGAGCCGTAGGGTGCTTGGAGCCTGCAGGTGCTGAAGGTGCGGGGTACTTGGAGCCTGGAGCCGTAGGGTGCTTAGAGCCTGTAGGTGCTGAAGGTGCAGGGGTCTTGGAGCCTGCAGGTGCTGAAGGTGCGGGGTACTTGGAGCCTGGAGCCGTAGGGTGCTTAGAGCCTGTAGGTACTGAAGGTACAGGGGTCTTAGAGCCTGAAGCCGTAGGGTGCTTGGAGCCTGTAGGTGCTGAAGGCTTAGAGCCTAGAGGGGTGGCGGTAACTTGGGCGTAGGTAGGCGATTTAGGGCTATTTGGTGCTGAAGTTACAGGGGACGGAGAGCCTGTAAAGCCTGGGTAGATATCGAATGGGGGGCTTGGTAGGGGTGGAGGGGTACTGAGATTTCGGCTTGTAGGTGCTGGAGGCGACTTATACAGGCCTGTAGCCCCTGGAGCTGTAGGGTATTCAGAGCCTGAAAGGCCTAGAGAGGCTCTGGCCTTAGGGGTAGCGGCTCGAAAGGGTGCTAGTAGCTGAGGGAAATCGATTACAGGGTAGGGGGTGCCTATAGAATCGTCGATTTCAGCGTCTAAGGGTGCTGAGGCAGAGGGGGTAGTATGGATTCGGTGCTGCGTTGATACCCTAGAGCTACCGGTGATTCCGTGGATTTTAGCGCTATGAGTCTTAATCCCGTGGGCTCCTTTACACGCTGTAGCACAGGTAGGGCAGGGAACAAGGCCTATAGGCTGTAATTGAAGCTCTGTAAAGGAATCAGTAGGGTGTTTTTTACGAATATGATCGAGAATATCGATATATTCATTTTTACACGCGGGGCATTCGAACGGCATAGTAAAAGAGGGGTAGAGGGGTAATTGCGGGGTAAAGTGCGGGGTAAAAATCAGGGGAAATATGAAAACTTAGTGATTTATCAGTAGAATTGCGAGATAACTTATAAAAGTGATGATATCTCGAAAACTAGCCGGTAGAATCGATTTTTAGACGGTGGAAATTGATCCTTAGGTGCTGAAATAGGGGGGTAAGTAACGAATTAACGGTAAAAAATCGGAGAGGGCGACGGTGAGGTAGGCGCTAGTAAGGTAGGCGCCGGTAAGGTAGATAGGAGAGGCCTAGGGTAAGGCTTAGGGCAGGGATAAGGTAAGTATAGGGTCGATAATAGTAAAGTAGTTGAGAGAGTGATAATTCAGAAGGATAAAGTGAGAGAGTAATAAGGTAAGAGAGTAATAGTTTAGAAAGATAAGGTAAGAGAGTGATAATAGTCGAGAGAGTGATAATCGTCGAGAGAGTGATGATAGTTAAGAGAGTGATGATAGTTAAGAGAGTGATGAAGAGTGAATAATCGAAAGGGAATAGCCTTCTATATAACCCTAAGTCTGACCCTAAGCTCGACCCTAAGCTCGGCCCTAAGCTCGACCCGAAGTCCGACCCTAACCCTTAAAATATTAATTTCAAAGTATCAGTTATAAGGTTTAATCTATTGATTTCAAAGTATTAGTTATAAGGTTTAATCTATTGATTTTAAAGCATCGGTTATAAGGTTTAATCTATTGATTTCAAAGTATTAGTTATAAGGTTTAATCTATTGATTTCAAAGTATTAGTTATAAGGTTTAATCTATTGATTTCAAAGCATCGGTTATAAGGTTCAAGTTTTGATTTCAAAGCTTCGGCTCTAATAAATTTTATTCACCTTAAGTATAGCCCTATCCTCTACCCTATCCTTCACCTTATCTCTTACCTTTACCTTTATCTTTATTCTTTTACCTTTGATTCTTCGATTATCCTTTGATTTTCAGCCTTATATCTAGCCCTATCCTCTACCCTATCCTTCACCCTATCCTTCACCCTATCCTTCACCCTATCCTTCACCCTATCCTTCACCTTATCCTTCACCCTAAGTAAGGTTAATATTACTACTGTAATATCCGCTGCGCTAGTAAATTACATAGTATCTATTAGATACTATGTATCTAATTAACCTTATCCTTAACCCTAAGTCTGACCCTAAGTGTGACCCTAAGTGTGACCCTAAGTGTGACCCTAAGTGTGACCCTAAGTCTGACCCTAAGTCTGACCCTAAGTCTGAATATTATATTATATATAATACAAAGGGCTACGCCCTGCACGGCTTCGCCGTAAATTTGACGGTATAATAGGTATAATCGACCCTAAGTATGACCCTAAGTCTGACCCTAAGTATGACCCTAAGTATGACCCTAAGTGTAACCCTAAGTGTGACCCTAAGTCTGAATATTATATTATATATAATACAAAGGGCTACGCCCTGCACGGCTTCGCCGTAAATTTGACGGTATCTTATATATATAACGGCTTCGCCGTAAATTTGACGGTATAATAGGTAAAATCGACCCTAAGTATGACCCTAAGTATGACCCTAAGCCTGACCCTAAGCATTATATATAATATATAATATATAATAAACAAGGCTACGCCTTGCACGGCTTCGCCGTAAATTTGACGGTATAATAAGTGAAATTAACCCTAAGTATGACCCTAAGTCTGACCCTAAGTATGACCTTAGGGTTAGGGTTAGGGTTAGGGTTAGGGTTAGGGTTAGGGTTAGGGTTAGGGTTAGGGTTAGGGTTAGGGTTAGGGTTAGGGTTAGGGTTAGGGTTAGGGTTAGGGTTAGGGTTAGGGTTAGGGTTAGGGTTAGGGTTA